CAATAGACATTTCACTTTCAATAAGATACACCAGAATGACCAAATACCCCTGACTCGAGCATTCTAACAGGAAGCAAGAGGTTCTCCCCGTGACGAGATCCTACGCCCGGGCCCACAACATTTTGGTATCAGAGCCAAACGTCATGGGAGATATGGAGCAACTATCATCCAAGGTACACGAACTGGAACAAAGGCTAGCAGAAACCAGCATGGAGGTTCGTGAAGTCAGGGAAGATGTCCGGGAGCTGCGACGCCTGCTGGAAGCATTCCTCTCCAACAAAGAAAGGGGTTCTGAGGGAATCGCCAACACAAACAGACGCCGTCCGGACTGGGCAGAGGCATCCAGCGAACAGCAGATCGCTGCCCCGATAGCCGCAGTTATTCCCAAGTATAGCCGTTTGGAGTTTTCCTCATACAACGGCAGCGGCGACCCACTGGGATGGCTGTACTACTGCGAGCAATTCTTTCGTAATCAGCGTACGGAGGATGAAACTGTAAAGTTTCCTCCTTTGGCCGGGGACAATGTCATGAACATTATATTGGTACTTGCAGAATGCGCTCCTTGGTCGAAGACAGGTGGACTTGGCGATGTTGCTGGGGCTTTACCGAAGGCTTTGACTCGGCATGGACATAGAGTTATGGTTGTGGCACCACGGTATGGTAACTATGCAGAAGTCCAAGAAACAGGAGTGCGCAAGAGATATAAGGTGGATGGGCAGGATATGGAGGCTGCTCTTGAGGTTCTCTTCTGTAAGTATACCTGGTGCGTTCTTGTGATCCACAAAATAGCACACCAGGGCCGTGGTCCAGTAAGCAATTTTTGTTATGTGGATCTTCCACAAAACTACATAGATCATTTCAAACTACATGACCCAGGAGGCGGGGAACACTTCAATATCCTTGCAGCTGGCCTGAAAGCAACAGATCGTGTAGTCATTGTAAGCCATGGTTACGCCTGGGAGCTGAAAGCTAAAGAAGGTGGCTGGGGTCTGCATCAAATAATAAATGAGTGTGATTGGAAGCTGAAGGGCATCGTGAATGGGATTGATGCAAAAGAATGGAACCCACAGTTGGATGTTTACCTGGTATCTGATGGCTACACCAATTACTCTGTGGAGACTCTTCAGACTGGCAAGCCTCAATGCAAAGCAACTCTACAAAGGGAGCCTGGTCTTCCTCTTCGGGAGAAGGTTCCTTTGATTGGGTTCATTGGCGGGCTTGGCCATTAGAAAGGTGTTGGTCTCATTGCTGAGTCCATTCCTTGGATGGTGGATCAGGATGTGCAACTAGWCATGTTGGGCACTGGGAGACCTGACCTGGAACAACTTCTCAGACATTTAGAGAGTCAACACCATGACAAGGTCAGGGGTTGGATTGGTTTCTCTGTAAAAGTGGCTCATCGAATAACTGCGGGTGAAGATATCCTACTCATGCCTTCTAGATTTGAGCCATGTGGACTGAACCAGCTTTATGCACTGAGCTACGGGACAGTCCCTGTTGATAGTGTGCAGCCGTTTGATCCATTGGCAGAGTTCCAAGTCACGTATCCGGAATTCGAGCTTGAGGACAAGCTCGTTGTCCAGGAGGGGTGTGATGTTATGGACACACCGCCCGGCAGCGCACCGCGGCGCAGTC